CATATATTATCTCTTTTTTGTCCAAACAATAATCTTTTCACTTTTTCTTTTCCTGCTGTGCTAGTCCTTTCAGATTTGGTTGGGTTTGAATTTATTTAAGTTTTTGTTGTCAAGATTGACATTTTGTTTTTCTTAGTAATGCCATTTTACTTGCTTTAAAGAAGGATAATGAACTGCAAATATTATAGCTAATAAAATTTTGAAGTTCTGATGGACTGATAAATTCAAATGAGTGAACAAATCTAAAGACAAGCGGCTCATTCAAATTGAGCATTACACTTGATCTCAAAAAGAGATGCACTGATAATTTCATAAATGAGACATTGATATAATTTTAACTTCAATCAGAACAAATGTAAAATCAATGTATTGAAAAATGTTACATTGATTACATCAAAGAGATATTCGAGTCACTCCTATGTGCACTATTTCCTTAAAAATATAGAATGTGTGAAAAATTTTAGACTTCAAACCCAAAGTGATCATTCAGGATCATCAAATCAAGAAGAGTGACACAATAATAAAACAACAAAGAGAAAGAAATAACTATGAGCTCTCTTTCTTACAGTCCTACCCTAATAGGTCGCTGCTGATATGCCCCCAGTGTAGCATAAAAGCATTCATGTCTTCACATTAAGGTTGCTTCATACTTATGCAGCTCATTCTGCAGCCAAAATTGAGATTGCTTGCTTCGAATAACACCGCCACGTGAAATTTCAGTGATATCTTCAGATGCAAGTTTCTTACGCCCAGAGTAGTCCATCAGAGCCAATTTCAAAATTTGAAACTGGGCTATCACCAAATTCCTGGTTCGCTGATTGATCACCTTCTAGTGTATCCACAAAAGGTTTAGAAAGATCAGAAGATCTTCCAGATGGGATTCCATAATCACTCAGTATGGAGGATGAAGCACCAGCAACAGCTTCTCTGTCTAAAACAGCTACATAGCTATCTTCAAATTCNATATATATATATATATATATATATATATTATTTAATAACCCTTTGATAAAAAATAAATTTATTAGTGGTATATGAATTTAAAAGTATAAAATTATTTTCATAAAGAAAATCATGACTTTTTTTTTCATAACAAGCCTGTTTTTAGCTATAAGACTTTTAATTATAAAACTTAAATGAAATTAATTAAGTGTAAATAGAAGCACTAAATGCGTTTAAGATAAGACAAAATTTTCATTGCAAGACATTAAAAAAAAAACTTAAAGGTAGTTCTTCAATTAAGACTCAATAGAATAAAAATGCAAGACATGTGTCTTTATTAAATAAATACTTTAAGATCCAAGACTAAAATAACAATTAGATGCAATTTATAGATAAGTGTAAAAAAGACTTGTTTTTCATATTTAGTAATATTCTTTGTAATTATTTATGAATTATTCTTTTTCTCGTTGAAAAATGTAATAGTTAGTAAAAAGTATGTATATTGTACAGAAACTTGATACATCATGGAAGATTTGTCATCAATTTCTCACTAAGCCACCTATGACTTGCTTAGTTAAAAGAAAGACTACTCGCTCAGCGAGTAGAGTAGCTCGCTTAACAAGTGAAATCAATTAAGAGCGAATCAATTCAATTTTCGCTCAGCACATGCATATCTGTGTGTTGAACGATTTATATGTTTATGGAGTGATTATTAGCTCGAGAAAGACAGAAAACAAAGAAGTTATGGTTTAAGAAAATACGAAAAAATTTTAGGAACTCTAGGGAGGCTACTTCGAGACATCATGACATCACTCTTCATCGATTTTCATCAAACGTGTATGTTTAAGATTACTAGTAATAGCTAGATTTCTCTTTCGTTGGAATTGGATGTAATGAACTCACTGTGATGTAATTTTCTTATTCAATATATCTTTGTGTTCATATGCTCTTCTTGATTTTACTGTCATTATACGAAAGTATGATGTAATCTAAATGTTTATGAGAACTAGAAAGCAAACTTGAACGTGGACATCAGATAGACAACCAAAATGAACGATACTAGGAATGTTGTCAATTCTTCTGGTAATTCTTGAACATCATATTTTAATGTAAATTATATGTTAAATGAGGAATTAATGATTTAACATATATATTTAGAACTTGATTTAAGGAGTTAAACCGAGTATACATTAATGTGAATGTTTGAACACATGATATGTTTTCTAGAATTTTACTCTAACGTAATTCATGAAACCCAATTCAAACGAAGCTTTTCATAAATTTTCAATAATAATCTTTAAATCTTGTTATTTTAATTCAAAATCATCAATATGAATTCAATTGTTATCATTTCTAAATTGATTTTGTTAAATAATTCCGATTAGACAAACAAACCACAAGTCCCTTGGAAGAACGATACTTGAACCTTACACCTATTACTTGAAACGATTTGCTTCACTTTACAAAAACTTATCATCTATGCAAAGTCTCAATGAAGACACAAGAGACACCTAATTAGAAGAATCATAAGACACAACAAGCTTTAAACTATTTACACATCTTACATATATTCAATCCAATTCGCATTATAAATTATAAAGTATCTAAGACTTATAAAACACTTAATTAAAACTAATCCTAAAGATGATTTTGACATAACATAAACGATTTGAAAATGTATATTTCATCAAAATAATAGAAAAAAACTTTTAGAATAGAAAACATATACTTACCAGATTGATATTGAGTGTGGTATTAAAACATGTCGACTAAAAGTCAAACACATTCTTACATAGTGTTGACACGAGGACAAATCTACAAAATAAAAGTTTTAACAATTTAATATAAGACACTTATAAAAGGAAACTTTTGCATGCATAATAAGCTAATGAGATATAGATGCTATAAGATAAATTCTTGAATGTAAAAGTAGAATCAAACTCTTTGATAGACCAAACTTTAGAAATTACTCATGCTAGTAAATCTTTCACACATCAAAGTTAATAATTTCGAAATAAAAAGTACTTTTTGTAATGTTTTTGTAATGTTGTCTAAGATTGAGTTTTCTTATTATACTAAATAACTTGTTGAATTTATATACTTAGAAACATGATGTATTAGATGTTAAAAGAGATTAACATATAACTAGCCTAAAGAAACTTTATTTATTCTTCTAAGTTATGATAAGAAAACAATATTTGTGATCTTGAGATTAATAAAACCATTTAGTAATTACTAATGATAACTTATTGTAAGTCATGTTTCGATAAATTAATATAAAACTAAGTGTTCACTATCCTTTACATTATTTAAGTAATTCCTTTATATGATTATCTTAAAAAAATGTGTAAACTTATTTTTAATAACATCAAAACCAAACCCTTCAACGACTAATTGAATTAGTTAGTAAAAAATTTCAAAAATATTTTTGAGTTCTATAATATTTTATTTCACTTCTTACCCTTACTCTTGTAACTCTTGTAAATATTATTTTAGATGTTAATGTGGTAAAAGACTATGCTTAGTATTAATGTAACATTGACACTATTTATTCACTTTTTTACATTATATATAGTTGTTGTATGGTTGGAAAAAAAAATAATTTGAATGCGTGAATTATTATTTATTGGAAATAGTAATTATACACAACAATAACTTAACTACAAGAATTTGATCAACTTGTTTTCAGAATATTAATTGCTAATTGACTTAATTTAAAAAAAAGTTGAATTATATAAGAAAACACTTCACATCAACCATTATTCAAGAATTTGATCACCACTATTTTGAAGTCTTTTTTTCTCAATTAAATATTTTTATTTATTTTATTCATTTATAAAATTCTAAAATTTTAGTTTAAAATATGAACTAGTTTTATTCAAATTGAGAGACTGTTTCACATTATTTATTCTACTATCATATCATTTCAACTGATTTCACCCATCATCCAAAAGAAGTGGCATTTGAGGTCCTCAATATGTCAGAAGATGTCAGATGTCATACAAACTTTATAGCAGAAAGGAGGAGTGAAAAAAATTCAACACTGTCCCACATCGGAAAAAAAAAATTATGGATGAGTATTGTACAATCATAATAACAAATATGCCAACAGAAATGGTATAGCACTGGTAGGGAATGTGAAGTTACTGCTCTTTCTTCTTCCATTTATGCCTTCTTTTTTTCTTCTTTTAATCGGGTGGTTTCTTTTGTAGTGGGTCACTTTGGTTTGGACTATGTTTTCCTTGTGAACTCATTTTGTCATTGAAGGACAGCACATATGAAACAAATATTTGTTTTTGATTGTCTGCTAGTAATTAGTGTTGGCTTCACACTCCATAATGGTAGGGACAACAAATTGTGAAGGTGCAGTGACAGCTCATTTCACCAACTTCCATTTGGATTGCACTTTCTATCCTATCTCTCAACAATTTATTTCATTAAACTATAGATTTATTCCTCAACATGTATTTTCTCTTTTTATTCCTCTTATTTATCATCAAGAACCAATTTAGATACCTTTGTTTATGTGAAGTTGAGATGGCCGAGTTGGTCTAAGGCGCCAGATTAAGGTTCTGGTCCGAAAGGGCGTGGGTTCAAATCCCACTCTCAACATAAATATATTTTCTTTTTATTCCTGTCATTTATCATCAAGTACCAATTTAGATATTTTTATCTATGTGAAATTGAGATGGCCGAGTTGGTCTAAGGCGCCAGATTAAGGTTCTGGTCCGAAAGGGCGTGGGTTCAAATCCCACTCTCAACATATATTATCTCTTTTTTGTCCAAACAATAATCTTTTCACTTTTTCTTTTCCTGCTGTGCTAGTCCTTTCAGATTTGGTTGGGTTTGAATTTATTTAAGTTTTTGTTGTCAAGATTGACATTTTGTTTTTCTTAGTAATGCCATTTTACTTGCTTTAAAGAAGGATAATGAACTGCAAATATTATAGCTAATAAAATTTTGAAGTTCTGATGGACTGATAAATTCAAATGAGTGAACAAATCTAAAGACAAGCGGCTCATTCAAATTGAGCATTACACTTGATCTCAAAAAGAGATGCACTGATAATTTCATAAATGAGACATTGATATAATTTTAACTTCAATCAGAACAAATGTAAAATCAATGTATTGAAAAATGTTACATTGATTACATCAAAGAGATATTCGAGTCACTCCTATGTGCACTATTTCCTTAAAAATATAGAATGTGTGAAAAATTTTAGACTTCAAACCCAAAGTGATCATTCAGGATCATCAAATCAAGAAGAGTGACACAATAATAAAACAACAAAGAGAAAGAAATAACTATGAGCTCTCTTTCTTACAGTCCTACCCTAATAGGTCGCTGCTGATATGCCCCCAGTGTAGCATAAAAGCATTCATGTCTTCACATTAAGGTTGCTTCATACTTATGCAGCTCATTCTGCAGCCAAAATTGAGATTGCTTGCTTCGAATAACACCGCCACGTGAAATTTCAGTGATATCTTCAGATGCAAGTTTCTTACGCCCAGAGTAGTCCATCAGAGCCAATTTCAAAATTTGAAACTGGGCTATCACCAAATTCCTGGTTCGCTGATTGATCACCTTCTAGTGTATCCACAAAAGGTTTAGAAAGATCAGAAGATCTTCCAGATGGGATTCCATAATCACTCAGTATGGAGGATGAAGCACCAGCAACAGCTTCTCTGTCTAAAACAGCTACATAGCTATCTTCAAATTCAAAACGCAGATACCTGTCCTCGCATGCTGAGCAAGAGAGAAGTAATAGAACCACCCTGAGACATATTTTTAAAGAAAATGAATGCACAATAATAGATCAAGAATGTAACAACTTACAATCAACGAGATGCGCAAGGTGATGAATGTTTTTAATTCGAGTTCCATTGAATTTTACAACCTGAAAAAAAAAACATCATTTTAGAGAAACATGCATATGCATTAAGTATTGGGTATGTGGGAGTCAATTCACATATGGACATGACTTGCCTGCTGATTGCCCATGTCTTCATAACCTATGTTGACTTCATTTGCCAAGACCTGTCAAACATAAAGAAGCAAAGCAAACTTATATCACACAAAGCAACTAAATGTTCAATTACAAAATGGTAAATGCTGTCAATGTTGAATAAATTAATAAAATAGATCAAAGCATGTATAAAAGTAAATGCCATATGTGATGTAAGAATTCATGAATACAACCAAGCTATACATATGCATAGGTTTTTGGAAGTAATTCAGCCCCCAACCTGCGAAAGAATTACAATTTGCTCCCCTTTAAACCTTGCTAATGAATAACGCGCCCTTGCCAATAATTTTAGCTGACAAAGAAAATAAATGTAAAACCGAGTCACAAACTAATTGGATTTCAACTTTTGCTTTAAGATTAATCCATACAAATTCAGAAGTTACCCCTATAGAGTCTTCACATTCTTCCCTGCCAAAATATTCATAATGAATAAATTAAATACTAACTCACGACACCCAACTAAAAAAAGGAAATAGAAAAACACTATAAAATCTGAAAATATAATAAATACAACATACTCAATCAATGGCTCTGAGAGGGGTGTGAACACTAAACCAGCAATTATTAGATAAGAAGGCTGACCTTCATCAATGTGATAGGGAACCTTGAAGACAGGAAAATAAAGTTGCAAAAGAAATAGCATCAGATCAACCATATCATGAAAACGATTGATGCCAAAATTCAATGATATGTCACATACCAAATGAACTCGTGAGTTTAAAACAATTTTAGTTTTCATAAATGATCCTGCTCTGATGATACCAAGCTCTGCAGTATCACCTGAAAATCTGTATAACACCATTACTATAGGCTTCAATTTTAAGAACATCAACAGCCAAGAAAAGCAAATGCCAAAGGCTCTGAAACTTGTCTAATCATATTGTCAAATGAAACCTTTCAGAAGCTTCCCAATAAACTACCTAACGAGTATATCCTATCTAGCATGCATTAAATAATCTTTGCACAAAATTGTGAAATGTGATATCCTCAATAACTGAAAAATTTAATGTAGCAAAGCATAGAAAAGCTGGGGAATGGTTAGCAACGAATACAAGGGGTTGTTAAATTTAAGAAAATATTTCTTTTATAACTTTTAATTACAGAAATGTCACCATATTTTTACTTTATTTTCTGTTTCCAAAAGTTTTCATAGAAAACGACATTTTTTATTCTTTTTTGTTTCTACTATTTCCGATAAAAGCTTTTGAAAATAGGAAAAAAAGTGAAAATATGATGACATTTTTGTAATTAAAGTTGAAATAAGAAATTCCGAGGGTACTGAAATTGCTGTTAGAAGTGTGTGGTTTAAGTATCACATGCTAAAATGTATTTAATGCTCATACTTATTAGAATGTAGGAAGTTGAATCACTTACTATAATCCTAGGGTATGTCTTCTTTATTATATATATGGATGATAATGTAGAATCTATGTACTACATTCTAAAAGAATAAGAACATTTTTTCAATCAATAAATTTCCCCCTCTAATTTCAGCAATTGTCTAGTTGACAGCTCACAGAAACAGTATTGGTGTAAAGTTTATGGGCAAACTACAGTNAGATATAGATGCTATAAGATAAATTCTTGAATGTAAAAGTAGAATCAAACTCTTTGATAGACCAAACTTTAGAAATTACTCATGCTAGTAAATCTTTCACACATCAAAGTTAATAATTTCGAAATAAAAAGTACTTTTTGTAATGTTTTTGTAATGTTGTCTAAGATTGAGTTTTCTTATTATACTAAATAACTTGTTGAATTTATATACTTAGAAACATGATGTATTAGATGTTAAAAGAGATTAACATATAACTAGCCTAAAGAAACTTTATTTATTCTTCTAAGTTATGATAAGAAAACAATATTTGTGATCTTGAGATTAATAAAACCATTTAGTAATTACTAATGATAACTTATTGTAAGTCATGTTTCGATAAATTAATATAAAACTAAGTGTTCACTATCCTTTACATTATTTAAGTAATTCCTTTATATGATTATCTTAAAAAAATGTGTAAACTTATTTTTAATAACATCAAAACCAAACCCTTCAACGACTAATTGAATTAGTTAGTAAAAAATTTCAAAAATATTTTTGAGTTCTATAATATTTTATTTCACTTCTTACCCTTACTCTTGTAACTCTTGTAAATATTATTTTAGATGTTAATGTGGTAAAAGACTATGCTTAGTATTAATGTAACATTGACACTATTTATTCACTTTTTTACATTATATATAGTTGTTGTATGGTTGGAAAAAAAAATAATTTGAATGCGTGAATTATTATTTATTGGAAATAGTAATTATACACAACAATAACTTAACTACAAGAATTTGATCAACTTGTTTTCAGAATATTAATTGCTAATTGACTTAATTTAAAAAAAAGTTGAATTATATAAGAAAACACTTCACATCAACCATTATTCAAGAATTTGATCACCACTATTTTGAAGTCTTTTTTTCTCAATTAAATATTTTTATTTATTTTATTCATTTATAAAATTCTAAAATTTTAGTTTAAAATATGAACTAGTTTTATTCAAATTGAGAGACTGTTTCACATTATTTATTCTACTATCATATCATTTCAACTGATTTCACCCATCATCCAAAAGAAGTGGCATTTGAGGTCCTCAATATGTCAGAAGATGTCAGATGTCATACAAACTTTATAGCAGAAAGGAGGAGTGAAAAAAATTCAACACTGTCCCACATCGGAAAAAAAAAATTATGGATGAGTATTGTACAATCATAATAACAAATATGCCAACAGAAATGGTATAGCACTGGTAGGGAATGTGAAGTTACTGCTCTTTCTTCTTCCATTTATGCCTTCTTTTTTTCTTCTTTTAATCGGGTGGTTTCTTTTGTAGTGGGTCACTTTGGTTTGGACTATGTTTTCCTTGTGAACTCATTTTGTCATTGAAGGACAGCACATATGAAACAAATATTTGTTTTTGATTGTCTGCTAGTAATTAGTGTTGGCTTCACACTCCATAATGGTAGGGACAACAAATTGTGAAGGTGCAGTGACAGCTCATTTCACCAACTTCCATTTGGATTGCACTTTCTATCCTATCTCTCAACAATTTATTTCATTAAACTATAGATTTATTCCTCAACATGTATTTTCTCTTTTTATTCCTCTTATTTATCATCAAGAACCAATTTAGATACCTTTGTTTATGTGAAGTTGAGATGGCCGAGTTGGTCTAAGGCGCCAGATTAAGGTTCTGGTCCGAAAGGGCGTGGGTTCAAATCCCACTCTCAACATAAATATATTTTCTTTTTATTCCTGTCATTTATCATCAAGTACCAATTTAGATATTTTTATCTATGTGAAATTGAGATGGCCGAGTTGGTCTAAGGCGCCAGATTAAGGTTCTGGTCCGAAAGGGCGTGGGTTCAAATCCCACTCTCAACATATATTATCTCTTTTTTGTCCAAACAATAATCTTTTCACTTTTTCTTTTCCTGCTGTGCTAGTCCTTTCAGATTTGGTTGGGTTTGAATTTATTTAAGTTTTTGTTGTCAAGATTGACATTTTGTTTTTCTTAGTAATGCCATTTTACTTGCTTTAAAGAAGGATAATGAACTGCAAATATTATAGCTAATAAAATTTTGAAGTTCTGATGGACTGATAAATTCAAATGAGTGAACAAATCTAAAGACAAGCGGCTCATTCAAATTGAGCATTACACTTGATCTCAAAAAGAGATGCACTGATAATTTCATAAATGAGACATTGATATAATTTTAACTTCAATCAGAACAAATGTAAAATCAATGTATTGAAAAATGTTACATTGATTACATCAAAGAGATATTCGAGTCACTCCTATGTGCACTATTTCCTTAAAAATATAGAATGTGTGAAAAATTTTAGACTTCAAACCCAAAGTGATCATTCAGGATCATCAAATCAAGAAGAGTGACACAATAATAAAACAACAAAGAGAAAGAAATAACTATGAGCTCTCTTTCTTACAGTCCTACCCTAATAGGTCGCTGCTGATATGCCCCCAGTGTAGCATAAAAGCATTCATGTCTTCACATTAAGGTTGCTTCATACTTATGCAGCTCATTCTGCAGCCAAAATTGAGATTGCTTGCTTCGAATAACACCGCCACGTGAAATTTCAGTGATATCTTCAGATGCAAGTTTCTTACGCCCAGAGTAGTCCATCAGAGCCAATTTCAAAATTTGAAACTGGGCTATCACCAAATTCCTGGTTCGCTGATTGATCACCTTCTAGTGTATCCACAAAAGGTTTAGAAAGATCAGAAGATCTTCCAGATGGGATTCCATAATCACTCAGTATGGAGGATGAAGCACCAGCAACAGCTTCTCTGTCTAAAACAGCTACATAGCTATCTTCAAATTCAAAACGCAGATACCTGTCCTCGCATGCTGAGCAAGAGAGAAGTAATAGAACCACCCTGAGACATATTTTTAAAGAAAATGAATGCACAATAATAGATCAAGAATGTAACAACTTACAATCAACGAGATGCGCAAGGTGATGAATGTTTTTAATTCGAGTTCCATTGAATTTTACAACCTGAAAAAAAAAACATCATTTTAGAGAAACATGCATATGCATTAAGTATTGGGTATGTGGGAGTCAATTCACATATGGACATGACTTGCCTGCTGATTGCCCATGTCTTCATAACCTATGTTGACTTCATTTGCCAAGACCTGTCAAACATAAAGAAGCAAAGCAAACTTATATCACACAAAGCAACTAAATGTTCAATTACAAAATGGTAAATGCTGTCAATGTTGAATAAATTAATAAAATAGATCAAAGCATGTATAAAAGTAAATGCCATATGTGATGCAAGAATTCATGAATACAACCAAGCTATACATATGCATAGGATTTTGGAAGTAATTCAGCCCCCAACCTGCGAAAGAATTACAATTTGCTCCCCTTTAAACCTTGCTAATGAATAACGCGCCCTTGCCAATAATTTTAGCTGACAAAGAAAATAAATGTAAAACCGAGTCACAAACTAATTGGATTTCAACTTTTGCTTTAAGATTAATCCATACAAATTCAGAAGTTACCCCTATAGAGTCTTCACATTCTTCCCTGCCAAAATATTCATAATGAATAAATTAAATACTAACTCACGACACCCAACTAAAAAAAGGAAATAGAAAAACACTATAAAATCTGAAAATATAATAAATACAACATACTCAATCAATGGCTCTGAGAGGGGTGTGAACACTAAACCAGCAATTATTAGATAAGAAGGCTGACCTTCATCAATGTGATAGGGAACCTTGAAGACAGGAAAATAAAGTTGCAAAAGAAATAGCATCAGATCAACCATATCATGAAAACGATTGATGCCAAAATTCAATGATATGTCACATACCAAATGAACTCGTGAGTTTAAAACAATTTTAGTTTTCATAAATGATCCTGCTCTGATGATACCAAGCTCTGCAGTATCACCTGAAAATCTGTATAACACCATTACTATAGGCTTCAATTTTAAGAACATCAACAGCCAAGAAAAGCAAATGCCAAAGGCTCTGAAACTTGTCTAATCATATTGTCAAATGAAACCTTTCAGAAGCTTCCCAATAAACTACCTAACGAGTATATCCTATCTAGCATGCATTAAATAATCTTTGCACAAAATTGTGAAATGTGATATCCTCAATAACTGAAAAATTTAATGTAGCAAAGCATAGAAAAGCTGGGGAATGGTTAGCAACGAATACAAGGGGTTGTTAAATTTAAGAAAATATTTCTTTTATAACTTTTAATTACAGAAATGTCACCATATTTTTACTTTATTTTCTGTTTCCAAAAGTTCATAGGAAACGACATTTTTTATTCTTTTTTGTTTCTACTATTTCCGATAAAAGCTTTTGAAAATAGGAAAAAAAGTGAAAATATGATGACATTTTTGTAATTAAAGTTGAAATAAGAAATTCCGAGGGTACTGAAATTGCTGTTAGAAGTGTGTGGTTTAAGTATCACATGCTAAAATGTATTTAATGCTCATACTTATTAGAATGTAGGAAGTTGAATCACTTACTATAATCCTAGGGTATGTCTTCTTTATTATATATATGGATGATAATGT